GAGTAGATCATCTACATATTGGACTAGTATGGACCTGGACGGGAAAACAAGGTCAGCAAGGTCTCAGACTAATGCTTGGGAAAAATACGACGGGCTTTCAGTATACCCCTGGGGCAGTGTGGTCCATGTGTACTGTTGCCCCTTGTAAGTAAAGGCAAACAGGAACTGGGAGTCAGGGTGAACCGGGACAGAAAAGAAAGCAGAGCACAAATCAACAACAGTAAAATGAGTTGCATCTGGTGGGATAGAAGCCAGAATCTTTGAGAGGGGCAAGTTTTGATTCTGTCCACCTATGATTTGCCTCTTCCCACCACTGCGTGAAACAATCAACCTCTCCTTTTGCCAATTTAATTTTAGGTTGGCCAAGTTTGTCTTTTAAGACGTCTACACAGTCTTTGTCCCAAGATCCTAACAGTGGCCACTGAATTTTGGGATTCTCCTGAGTTAGCCTAGACCATTTTTCCAGAAATTTACTGGAGTCCGGACCCTTCCTAAAATACATAAATTGAGCCAGCGTTCCTTTAGGGAACTGTCCCGACTTAGACGTCTAGTTACCCATACAGGAGGACTTTACACACCAATCACACAAGAAGGAAAGTCGGGTTCGTCAGAGCGATGCCCGGTGCAACACACAAAAGGAGCCCACAGGCTAGTGCCTCAATCGCCCTTGCTTTCACACCAAGGGTTTTACCCCAGGCGCGGTGCGGCTGCGATTGTGCAGATTTCCCTCACTCAGACTGTGGGGACAGGAACCCTTTGGTCAGCCGATCCCCAGATGGAGACGGCGCCCAGACTCAAACACACCACAGGGAGGATGGACAGACACAGAGACAAGACAGTCCTCAGTCCGGACAAAACACAGAAATAATTACCTGACCAGATTCCTGATGTCAGATCCCGGGATCCCTACCAGAACAGAGTGGGAACCAACAGGTTCGATGGTGTAGACTTCACTGTGGTCATGCACCCTTCCGTTCTGGCGGAGGTCCGCTCGGGCCAAATGCCCAGGTGCCAGCTTGCCACGGCCGTCCTAAGAACAGTCAGGAGTCACACAGCCCCAGTGAAGACGGTTGCCATCTCGGTGGGACCTCCAAATTGTCAAAGTCAGATTCAGGACTCACATAATTTGTCAGACCACTCTGTTTATTAGCAAAGCGCTTTGCCAATGCACCCAGATATGTGAGTCCCTGCAAAAGCTCAAGCTAACTTATTTATACAGACAAGCCAAAGCCAATTTAACATAAGAGACAAAAGGAAGCAGAAACTGACAAATATACATACATATCTTATTTGCATACTAACGTTTACCAATCTCCTAGCTCAGCAGGAGCTCTAAGTTAATTAGTTTGAGGACCCATTGTCTCACACTCCTTAATGTTTCTCTTCCTGACAACTATATTTCAACAAACCCTTCAAGTAGCATTTTTTTAATGAATTATAAGTTCAATAGAATTCATTCTACTTTCACAGTATCAAAATCAAATTCAGATAGCAAGGTAGGGAAGGTGGACCTACAATAAAACTGTGCCATGGTCCAGAAAAAGTGTTTTGAATATACAGTGTTATGGGGCGGGGAATAGAAACAGGGAAAGATCATCAAGGCCAATACAATGGTTTGTCTCATCTCTTAATACTACTTTCCTCAATTTTCACCTTCCCTTACAGGCCCCTCTTTCTCTAGTATTATTGCATCGAGATCACTGAATATCTTTAAATTATTCTGTTTATGGACACACAGTAGGCCAAATTCAGAAGTATATCTGAACTGGTGTAATTTACACCTACTTCCAAGCCTTTCAATGTGTAAATTACAGCATTACCTTCACTCAGCTTCCTCATGCTTCCCTGTTGTGTAAGATATAACCTCTGACACCTCCCCTCTGACTGACCGTCCAACTCTGGAGGAGTCCAAGTTAATGAATTTGAACAAATGCATATTTTAAAATAAATGTGAGGTATGTAACTTGAATTCTACTGTTTAATTAAAATGAATATTTGCCTGTGAAATTATGGTGTAATTAATGATTGTACAATGTAATGCAGATATTTTTTAATGTATTCTACCAGGCACTTAGCATTTATTTCTTTACCTTAATTGCATTTTTAGGGCTTGATTCTGTTCCTGCGTTTGATTGAAAATGCATAGGTGCACAACACTGCATATTTTCGGACATCGAGCACTACATCTGTGGATCCAGTGTCAAGAAGCAAGCCCTTCTGGCATTAGGCTACATTGCAAAATTGAGCCTCATTAAAATATTTTATTACCTATGATTTTAAAGACAAACTATAGTGGACAAAAAAGACATGCTGTAGTGACTGAATCAGACACCAGCAACAAAGGCAAATATTTCAATTTAACACAAACTTGAAAAGCCTGCTCTTTCATATAGCATCTCACTTCTGATTTGTTGTAATGGAAACTTTGCAGCCCATAGTCTGAGCTCATAGCAAGTCTTTATATTGACTAATTTCAATTAATTCAAAACTTACTGTTTGTCCACTATAGCCTGATGTTGTTTTTTTTTAAAAGATGTTTAGTTTAAAACCATTTCTAAAGTTTATAGTGTGTTATATATTAGGTAGGCCCTGCCAGGCTCACTAGACTAGTATAAGCACTTTTCTGGAAATATAAATGGTTTGAGACCCATGTTGTGCTCTCCTCCCACCACAGATTTCCTATTAGTCCTGAAGATCATCCACCAAAATTATCAGACACATAGATGAACACGGTTTGTTGGGGAAGAGTCAACAGGGATTTTAAAAAGGGAAATCATGCTACACCAACCTATTAGAATTCTTTAAGGGGGTCAAAAAATGTGGACAAGGGTGTACTCGGACTTTCAGAAAGCGATGGACCTTGTCAAAGACTAAAGACTTTTAAGCAAACTAAGCAATCATGGTGTAAGAGGGAAGGTCCTCTCATGGATCAGTAACTGGTTAAAAGACAGGAAACAAAGGATAGGAAGAAACAGTCAGTTTTCACAGTGGAGAGAGGTAAATAGCTAGGTCCCACAAGGATCTGTATTGGGACCAGTGCTGTTCAACATATTCATAAATGATCTGGAAAAAGGAGTAAACAATGAGGTGGCAAAGTTTGCAGACACTACAAAATCAGTGGTTATTAGCCAGGATGGGCAGGGATGGTGTCCTTATCCTCTGTTTGCCAGAAGCTGGGCATGGGTGACGGGGATGGATCACTTGATGATTATCTGTTTTGTTCATTCCTTCTGGGGCACCTGGCATTGGCCACTGTCAGAAGACAGGATACTGAGCTAGATGGACCTTTAGTCTGATCCAGTGTGGCCATTCTTATGTTCTTAAATTTACTCAACATAGTTAAGTGCAAAGGTGACTCCAAAGAGTTACAAAAGAATCTCTCAAAACTGGGTGGCTGGGCAGCAAAATGGCAGATGAAATTCAGTGTTGATAAATGCAAAGTAATGCACATTGGAAAACATAATCCTGATTATATGTACAAAATGATGGGGTCTAAATTAGCTGTTACCACTCAAGAATGAGATCTTGGAGTCATTATGGATAGTTCTCTGAAAACATCTGTTCAAAAACGATATATTAGAAATGGAAAAGGAGATTAAAAACACTGGGACTGTTCAGCTTGGAAAAAAAGACACCTAAGGGGGGAGATGATCAAGGTCTATAAAATCATGACTGGTGTAGAGAAAGTGAACAAGGAAGTGTTACTTACCGCTTCTCATAACACAAGAACTAGGGGTCGCCCAGTGAAATGAATAGGCAGCAGGTTTAAATGAAACAAATGGAAGTACTTCTTCACACAACACAGTCAAGCTGTGGAACTCATTGTCAAAGGATGTTGTGAAGGCCAGAAGTATAACTGGGTTCAAAAGAACAAGATAAATTCATGGAGGATAGGTCCATCAATGACTATTAGCTAAGATGGTCAGGGATGCAACCCCAGGCTCTGGGTGTCCCTACGCCTCTGACTGTCAGATTCTGGAACTGGATGACGGGATGGTTCCTGCAAATCACCCCATTCTATTCATTCCCTCTGAAGCATCTGGTGCCAGCCACTGTCAGAAAACTGGATTAGGGCTAGATGGACCATTTGTCTGACCCCTTGTGGCCATTCATATGTTTACCACCAGAGTTCCTATTTTTGCTTTTGCTTCTCCAGCCTTCTACTTCCAACTTTTCCTACTGTTTCATGGTTCTGTCAATGTGGGTCAAATTGCAGGAGACATTTTCTTCCAGAGCTCGTTTACTGTTTCTCACAAGACAGCTGCAGTAATATTTCTACAGAGTGATGTGAAGGTCCTTACCTCTGCTCCTGCAGCCATATGGTCCTGATCCAACATCTGCTGAAATTAGTCGGAGTCAGGTCAAGCCCTAAAAGTGCCATTTCTGCAGCATCCTCAACCTCTGTCAGCCATGGAATGAAGGACAAATTCTAGGTCTCAAAATGGAATCCTTGCATGCCTTGTACATTTTACTCCTGCCAGGCTGGCCTATCAGCAGCATTTCTGCATTTTAGTTTATCTTTTTCAGTTACAGCGTGAATTCTTCTCTGGTTAGCATGATTCACTCAGTTTTTCTTTTTGGAAACCATTCTCAATTTGACACATCATGTAGATCTTATAAGTACAGGACTTTCCACCTTCACCATTCAGTTTAATCACCCGTTTTGATTGGGGTCTATTAAAAATATCATTGGGAAAACAGTATATTTTTTGCTAACAATCTTTTTATAGGGGTTTTTTTCAGTTTTGAAAACTTATTGTTTGAAATATTTAACACTAGGCTGGACAAACCCATGGAGAATAGACTACTGAGAGAACCATCTTGTGCTAGGCCCTGCGTTCAAGATTGGGAGAAGGGCACGATGTAGATGGTTTCTGATAGGGGTTTTTCATTTCAGATTAATTTGATTCTACATAACGATGCATCCTTTTCTTTGACATGTCCAGTGCTGAAGCTAGGTGTATTGCTGGTGATGTGTTGACCTTTTGTTCCCTTGGCAGTGTCCTGGACAGCCCTAGCAGACTTGATGAGGAGCACAGACTTATTGCCCGATATGCTGCCAGGCTGGCTGCGGAAGCTGGAAATGCAGTAAGTAAATGCATTGATTCTCCAATTTGATTTTCTCTGGCTCTTTTCTTATTAAGGAAGGTAGCAAAATGTTTTTCAGAGCTTTGATTAGCAGCTTAATATTGTGCTAAATTGAGTCAAATTGTCTTTTTTTCTGCTTAGCTGATGTAAAATGAGGCATTACTTCCCTTTCCACTCCTTTCTCACTGTTTATAGCATGAATAGCACCTTCCCAGTATTGCACTATACCCCTCCTCAAGAAGGTTAGGGAAAATGTCCAGGAAATGGCAACATGATTACAAGCATGGAAAGACTGTCACATGGGAAGAAATTAAATAGATTAGTCCTACATAGTGTAGAGAATGGACAAATAGGTGGACACATGATAAAGGCATATAAAATATCATATGCTACAGAGAATGTAAATCAGTCACTATAGTACAAGAAAAAGGGGGGAAAGCCAATGAATTAAAAAGCCAAAAAATTTAAATTGATAAAGGAAAAACTTCTTCACACAGCACATAGAATCACAGAAATGTAGGACTGGAAGGGACCTCGAGAGGTCATCTAGTCCAGTCCTCTGCACTCAGGGCAGGACTATGTAATAACTATTGATGTCTATGTATTATAGTACTTCTAGCACCTTTAGCTGGAAGAGCCCAGAGGAATCTGGCATGTGGATTTAGGAATGGGAAGAACATAGGTGATTTTGAGGTTGCAGACAGGAAAACCCAGAGAACCCCTGCTTCATTAGCATTAACTTACCTGTGAATTCCCTCAGTATTTCCATCAGGACATGGACTCTCTATGCATCCTTCAGTTCAGCAGCAATGAACTCTGGTTCCTGCAGCCGTACCTACTCACTCCTGGCCAGTGTTCCCTTTTCATCTGAATTAATTGCCAAAAGATATCATAGGGAACTTGGAGAACCTGCAGAACTAAGAATTTAGTGAGAGTTAATAGAAGATTAGCTGTTTATATCAAGGTTATAAATATTTGACTTTTTCACACTAGCTGATGCATTCCCATGGGAAGACATAGCATTTGGACTGACAACCTTCCCCCGGTTTCAGCTGGGAAGTTCTGCTCTGAACTACAGCCAGGGTTCTATAAAAGCACCAACAGCAAAGGCCACCTAAATATGCACTTAATCAGATTTTCCAGGTGATGGGGCCATGCTCCCTACTATGATCCCTGCCCATTGTAGAGATTACAGATATGCAGAACTCTGTGGTCAGGGTGAATGCAAGATTGTTTATGTCCTGTTTATACAGACTCCTTACGATATACCTCCTATGTCCACCCTGAATAGTAGCTCTAAACTTGCACAACTAACACTGCCTTAATGACACGCTCTAAGGCCTGCTCTGATTAGCTCTGGGCTTGTTGGTGTGGAGTGGGTTGATGGAGTCTTGCACTCAAAGCCCCACTGTATCCCTTCATCCCCAGCTCAGATAATATGACTACCTCATCAGCATTTCAGAATTATGAATACCCACCTTGTCCTCAAACAATCTTCAAAAGAAGGACTATCCACTCCAAGCCAGTGAACAGTCTGAATTTCTTCTGCCACAGTGTAAGATGGATTGAACAGTACGACTATGAATAGCCATATGAATGCTTCTTGCTACCTCTGGCAGTATAAATACTCTCATCATCTCCTCCTGCAGTGTGTAGGCCCTTTTACTAGCTCCATCAATATGCATTCATACAGTGATCTGAATTCCTGAAGGGGTTATGAGCAGATATTTTCCTTTTGTAGAGCTTTAATAACAAGAAATCTTTTAAAATTCTAGAAATGGACACATCAGCTCCTCATTATCCCTTTGATGGGGCTGTCGAGGAAATCTCTGTATTTGAATTTTCTGAAGTCATTTAATTCACTACACACACATGTATTGCTGTAGTGGTACAGTATTTAAGTGACTGTTCTCTGTTGGTGGGAAACGGGGTAATCTGACTAATCTTTGTGTAAAACTTAAAGTTGCTGAGAAGCTTAATAATTTATTTGCGTCAATCTTCACCACAGAGAATGCTGGGGAGATGTCTATCCCTGACCTATTCTAAATTACTAAAAGTGAGGTACTCTCAGAGATTGGTGATGTCAGAAAAAGATGTGCTGTAATAAATCGATGATTTAAAAACCAGAAAGTCATCCAGTCCAGATGGTGTATATCCAGGAGTTCTGAAGAAGCTCATGTATTAAGTGGCTTAGCGGGATAAAAGAGAACTGGTTGACAGGTTATTTGGACTTTGATAAGGTACCTTACAAAAGGCTATTAAAGAAGCTAAGTCATTATGTGGTGAGAGGCAAATTATTGTCATAGATCAAAAACTGGTTAGGAGATAGGAAACAGAGTAGGAATAAATGGTAAATTTTCATTGTGGCAAAAGGTTAAAAGCAGGGAGCCTAAAGGTTCTTTACTAGGTCAGGTGTTATTAAATATATTTAATTATCTGGAATGGGATGAATAATGAAGTAGTAAAATTTGTAGAAGACACAAAGGACCTTCACAAAACAGAGAATTAATCTGAAAACAACAAGATAAAATTCAGTAAAGACAAGTGCAAAGCACTACGTTTACGAAGGAAAGAATCAAATGCACAACTACAAAATGGGGAATAACTGGCTAGGTGGTAGAATTCCTAGAAAGGATCTAGGGGTTATAGTTGATTATAAATTGAATATGAGTCAACAAAGTGATGCTGTTGCGAAAAAGGCTAATATCATTCTGGGGTGTATTAACTGCAGTGTTGTATGTAAGACCTGGGTGCTAATTGTCCTGCTCTGCTCAGCACTGGTAAGGCCTTTGCTGAAGTATTGTGTCCAAGTCTGGGCACAACACTTTAGGAAAGGTGTGGATAAATTGGAGGGAATCCAGAGAATAGCAACAAAAATGATAAAAGGTTTGGAAAACCTGACCTATGAGGAAATGTTAAAAAAACTGGGCATGTTTAGTCTTGAGTATCAACTCAGAAAAAGGAAAGGAGTACGTGTGGCACCTTAGAGACTAACCAATTTAACTCAGGAAAAGGTCCTCCATGTCATCGGAGACAGCTCAGTGAAGGCCTCAGTTCAAGGTGGTGCTACAGGCAAAAAAGGAAACAAGATGTTAGGCTGCATAAGGAATTTGAACCCTGGGTGTGAGCTGATATAGAATACTGGGTGCATATTGGTCACCCCATCTCAAAAGAGATATTGAAGAGTTAGATGGGTTCAGAGAAGGGTGATGAAAACGATTAGAAGCATGGAAAACTCATATGAAGACAGGTTGAAAAGTTTAGGATTGTTTACCTCAGAGATGAGAAAGAGGGAACATGAAAGAAATATGTAAAATGAATGAATGAATTTGGATTAACTTCAAAAAGGAGAACTACACAAAAGTGAGGAGTTAGAGTGGAAATCAAAAGGTAAGGTCACAAGAGTGAAATGCCTGAAAGCTGTATGTAAACTTTTTAAAAATACATAACACAGGCTCACACTGTAGGTATACCTCAAATTAAAAAAAGCAGTAAGATAACCAAAAAAATGCCACCATGGCTAAACAAAGTTAAAAGAGTCAGTTAGAGACAAAAAGACATCTTTTAAAAATTGGAAGTCAAATTCTACTGAGGAACATAAACGGTGGCAAGTCAATCATAAAAGTATAATTAGGCAGACCTAATTTGAAGAGCAACTAGCAAAAGACACAAAAACTTACAGCAAAAGAATTCTAATGTACATCAGAAGCAGGAAGCTTGCCAATCAGTGGGGCCACTGGAAGATCGAGGTGCTACAGGAGCACTCAAGGAAGACAAGGCTGTTGCACAGAAGCTAAATTAATTCTTTGCATCAGTCTTCACTGTAAAGGATGGGTTTCAGAGTAACAGCCGTGTTAGTCTGTATTCGCAAAAAGAAAAGGAGTACTTGTGGCACCTTAGAGACTAACCAATTTATTTGAGCATGAGCTTTCGTGAGCTACAGCTCACTTCATCGGATGCATACTGTGGAAACTGCAGCAGACATTATATACACACAGAGATCATGAAACAATACCTCCTCCCACCCCACTGTCCTGCTGGTAATAGCTTATCTAAAGTGATCATCAAGTTGGGCCATTTCCAGCACAAATCCAGGTTTTCTCACCCTCCACCCCCCCACACACAAATTCACTCTCCTGCTGGTAATAGCCCATCCAAAGTGACAACTCTCTTCACAATGTGCATGATAATCAAGGTGGGCCATTTCCTGCACAAATCTAGGTTCTCTCACCCCCTCACCCCCCTCCAAAAACCACACACACAAACTCACTATCCTGCTGGTAATAGCTCATCCAAAGTGACCACTCTTCCTACAATGTGCATGATAATCAAAGTGGGCCATTTCTAGCACAAATTCAGGTTTTCTCACCCCCACCCCCATACACACACAAACTCACTCTCCTGCTGGTAATAGCTCATCCAAAGTGACCACTCTCCCTACAATGTGCATGGTAATCAAGGTGGGCCATGTCCAGCACAAATCCAGGCTTTCTCACCCCCCCCCCTTTTTTCCAAGGGACACACACACACACACAAACTCACTCTCCTGCTGGCAATAGCTCATCCAAACTGACCACTCTCCAAGTTTAAATCCAAGTTTAACGAGAACGTCTGGTGGGGGGGGGGGCGCATAGGAAAAAACAAGGGGAAATAGGCTACCTTGCATAATGACTTAGCCACTCCCAGTCTCTATTTAAGCCTAAATTAATAGTATCCAATTTGCAAATGAATTCCAATTCAGCAGTTTCTCGCTGGAGTCTGGATTTGAAGTTTTTTTGTTTTAAGATAGCGACCTTCATGTCTGTGATTGCGTGACCAGAGAGTTTGAAGTGTTCTCCGACTGGTTTATGAATGTTATAATTCTTGACATCTGATTTGTGTCCATTTATTCTTTTACGTAGAGACTGTCCAGTTTGACCAATGTACATAGCAGAGGGGCATTGCTGGCACATGATGGCATATATCACATTGGTGGATATGCAGGTGAACGAGTCTCTGAT